TTGTTGCAGAAAAATCCGATTGAAAATCGCCAAAATTTTTCACTGGGTAAGATCGCCATTCAATAATTATTTGTCATGTTTATCAACGTCGTATATAAATTAATAAGTTAAGACATACGTAATCGTTATCTTCTAAAGATAGATGCTTGATGTATACAAATTTTTATCCTTCAAGTGCAATTTTCGTATTTAAGAAATAACTGTTTTCTTATCAATGTGTCATTTAACTATTATCTTTTTTGTTTGTTTAACATTTTCAAGTTGAATTAAAATTTCTTTCATTAATGATCGTTTTTTTTTTATAAAATAAATGAATAGATTATTGTTCTTTTATTTGAATAAAATAAAGAAAAAAAGAATGAATGATTATTTTTATTGTTTTAAAAACTGTTTTCTAATTTTTTACTATCACTTATACGTTTTCCAGTAAAAATACATGATTTCATACGTGTTAAATCTTGTTTTGATTTTGAATATTGTTTTTCATCAGTAAAATCAAGTAAATTTATAACTTTTGACCAATCACATGATGTTTTAGTACTTTTTTTCTAATCCAAATGTACGTAAATTATTTTCTTCAATTTTTATTATTTGTCGTTTTTGTTCGATTTGTTTATGTCGTTCATTATACCAATGTTCTAAATCATTTTGACCTTGTTTTCGTAATTCATTAATTTTTTGATTTTCTTCAGCATCTTTTGTAGCAAGTTCTTGTTCACGTTTTTTTTGCATAGCTTGTGTATAGGTGATACAATTTCATTTGAAAACATATTCCATGAAGATTGATTTTCTGAAAATGATAAAAACGAAATACATATATCAGAAGTATATAGTTCGTGTTTTTTTGTTTTCTTAATTACCTGATTGTTGATTTGTTAAATCATTAGAAAGAATATTATCTGATGTTGGTGATAATGAATTTAATGTTTGTGATGAATTGATATTATTTACAGTATCATCAGATGGAAATGATGTTGTTATATTAGAATTCTAAATAAAAATGTTATAAAATGTTTTGAAACGTTTCTTTTGTCATACATTGTCAATAATTCAAGAAGAATTATCTTTTTGAATGTTTGTTATTTCATTAGTATTTTCAAAGTCAAATAAATCAGTCTCGCGTGTACTAGAAGGACTTGATGTAAATATATTAAATTCGTCCATGATCGTTACACAATATTGTGTTAATGATTACGTTTTGTGTCACTGATTAAGCTGTTCTGATGTATTTGATGGACACCTTTTTTTTTTTCTCTTTTTATTTTTATTTTTATATCGTTGCACTTGACTTATCATGCTTAGCAATATCTATAAATAGATGACAGAACTGAAAAGAATAGATATGATTCAAACTAACATTTTTTTGTCTCTATGGGAAATAAAAACACAAGATAATGATGTCATACAAGTTGTTTAGATATCTTTTGTTTTTGCCGAAATAGAAATCTTTCAAGTTTCTCCTAGTTTCTACGATATTTCACATAAAATGAAGATTGAATCATAAAAAAACAATAAATTCTTCGAATCATGCGCACACACACACATTACTATATAGAAAAGAAACAAAAAACATGTGTAATATATTTTATTCATTTCACCTGCACGAGTATTGACAGTTTTTTTTTTCTTTCTGATTCTATTTCGTAAAAGATGAATTATGCTTTCATACGACTAAAAGCTATGACTGCAAACCATCAAAGAAAAACAATCTTTTTACCAATATTTTTCATAGAAAATTTACTCTTCTAGATTACATAGAGAAAAAAGAAAACATCATTCCGTATTTCCAATGGCTATGTATAATTCCTCTTCCAATAATAATCAAGTAAATTAAAATAACATAAAAGTTTTTTTTATATGTTCTATTTGATTTTATTTAGCATGAGAACGATATTACTATTATAAATTCTTTATTTTCCTCTGATTATAATTATGAACGAACACATGTTGATATATCAGATCAGAATACTAATGATAACCGTGATTATTTTTTTATTGAACATGATTTACAAGATAAAATGAAACAAATTGAACAAATTCTAAGTTATTATCGACAAGATCTTAAACAAGAATCAAATACACAATTAGACTGTGATAGAAATTTAATAACACGTCTTGTTGATTTTATTCGACCAGAATATTCTTCAAATAAAAATAAAATAAAAGATTTAGATATATTATTTAACGAAATATTAAATTTAAATGAGAAGAGATTTATTGAACAAAAAGAAAAAAAAAATGAACAAGTTCAGAAGGAAATTGCAAATTTGAAAAAATTAATTGTCACATCAACTAATGAAGATCATATTACAAAAAATATTTCTCAAATAAGTATGATAATTTATTAAAAAATAATTATTTAATCTAATTATAAATCTAGATTCAATGATTGATTATAAAATATGGATGGAAATAGAAGAGGAAACAAGAAAACTTTACAATTTAGTTGAACAACAACAAAATCAAATCAATGAACTTATCAAACTTATACCATTACAAGGTAAATATTAAAATGTATAATATCGATTTGAAAACATTGAGGTAGATTGTTACGAGTTCCAATCTAAGCAATGAGATCAACTGGTAAAAATAAATAAATGATTCTTAATAATGTATAAGTTTTTGCTATAATCAGTCAGTTCTTTTTACTGACCGTTTTTTTGGGCAGCAAACAGTCATATTTTCTCTTACTATTTTCATTGCTTTATGAGCTTTCGATAAACGTATAATTATTCCATGCTCGTTACATATGAGCATGATGAATTAATGTTATACTTAATCTATTTCTATTTAATATATATGCTTTATTAGTTCTTATATCTATACGAAATACACACTAGAAATAGTAAGTGATAATAATAAATCGATGGCAAACTATTATCCTAAACTATTACTTGTGTTTTTTTTCCGATAATATACCTTGCTATTAAGATGAATTAATAAAATATATTAAGCATGCTATGATGAATTTTTACTCAATAAGCAGTTTAATGTATGTTCTCTCATAGAAATAGTCCTTAGCTTCATTAAAAAGTAATTGATTTTCTACATGAATACTTATATAATCATTCCTTTGAAGAAAAACGAAGCATGCCGAATCTCAAAAAATCATTATTGGACAGAGCTTTCGATAAAATATTTGTTTTTTTTTTTAAATAGAGTAAAAGCTAATACATGAACATTAGGATCTGTTATTGGTTAAGTAGAACGACTTTGAAAATAAAAATTAGAGCAATAGACTTCTTTCTTATTTTTCTTTTTTTATTCTGTTTTCGATGTCTTATTAAAAACAAAATGCATACTAAGTATCATAAAATCGATTAATCAAACATTGCCTTGTCATGATTTACTCTTCTCTCATTAGTATGCAACTACAACATCATACATAATCAACATGTACTTCACAAAAAAATATTCGATTTCATGATCAATACTATTGATGAAGATTGTATCATATTGCTTCACTATTGAGAATAATTTTGATATTTTGGGTTGTGCTTTATCAGAAATACAATTTTATATTAGCATTCTCATTATCATATTAAATTCGTATAAAGTAATTTCTGATATCATTTGAATGAACATTTCATTAGAGATTTTGTCTAAAATCAATACTCACTTTATATAACCTAGTCTTTTCAAAAAAAGCCTTAAGAAGCTCTATTCATGGATGACATGAGCAGATGATCTTTATAGGAATAGTGGTTTTTCAATGTTCATTTGCAAATTTAGAGAAAAAAAATGTTTAGGAAAAGAAAATTTTCTTAATTCATACGTATGTAGAATAAGACGTAGACTTTGTGGACCTTTATTCTGATATAAATAGGAAAGTCTAGTTTCAGTTTACTGACCAATAGTATTACTGACTTCGTGTAGGTCATATATATATTTGTTACACTGATATCAGTATTCAATGAAGCATAACATCGATGCTAGTGTTCAATAGTTCAATATTTACAACAATACTACATATTCTTAGCTATAATATCAAACTGATCAAAAATTGACATCCATTTCACTAAGAAACTGTCAATTGATTTATTATATAAAATGCTTACATATATATTCATTTCTTTTTCTAGAAATTCATTCAAGCCGTCATTCTCCATCCAGAAGCATCGTTACTACTTATGAACCTCAACTTAGCGAACAACTACCAACTGCCATTAATCCTAATGATGAAAGTAAACTTATGACTAGAATTGCAATTGGAACTAATTCACAACCATATCCAGGTACGAATATATTACAAAGAACAATCGATGAATTTCGCTCATCCGGTACATTATCTTTTTTTTTTCTTCATTGAATGATATCGTCACAGAATCACTTGTAGATGCATTAAATAATGCAACACAATATGAAGAGCCATCCGTCTCTCGTACATTGTCACATAATAACAAAAAAAGATGTCCTTTATGCAATTATGAATTTCTTATAACAAATAATGAACTTGAAATGTATACACATGTTGAAACATGTTTGATTTCAGCGAGTTTAGATGATTTTGGTCCTTTAGTTGAACCACAACAATATGAATGTCCAATATGTAATCAACAATTTTCAGGCAATGATGATGAAGCATATCGTGAACATTTATCGAATTGCTATAGAGAATCTAGTGGCAATTTTTAAATAAGAACAAAATATTTTTTGCTCTAAATCTTCAATATACTCAAACGTATCTATAATGGATGTGACAGAATAAATGATGATCACAATATTTTTAGAATATTTCAATATTTTCTTGATAATTCAAGACAACTTTTTTTGTTTTTGTTTTTTTATCAAAATATTCATCTTTGAATTTTCTACACAATTATATGTTTCTTTTAATAAAAGTATATTTCATAATTTTTTTTTTGTAATATGCAGTACAAACAATTAATATAACATATTTAACTTTTAAAATAAGTCTTTTTATGACATTGTCTTATCAAATTTATTGATTATTGAAATAATATTATTTTCTATTTTCATGAATTGATTATTTCAAACACAATAATTCTTATTGACATATGGTAGAAAACTATCGTCATAACATTTATATATAAATACTGTCGTTAACAAAAAGAATAAGAGAAAACTCAAATACGATAATACAAACTGATATATCATTGTTTACCTCGATGATGTTACGATGACGTTCTCCTGCTTCATGTTTATAAGATTTCTGGCGTTTGGCATATTCATTGCATCAATCAATTAGACTATTCAATTTCATAAAAAGATTTCTTTCACAAGTTGCATGTGTTATACTATTATATGTCAAAAAAAAACTTTAAAATATACTTTTATTAAAAGAAACATATAGTTTTGTTACGAATTCAAAGATGAATAATTTGATAATAAAAATTGTCTTAAACTATTGAAAAAATATTATAGAATATATGAAATGAATAAGGAAATCTATGTTTTCTCTTTATAATATAATTATTTTTAATATAAGAATTTTATTTAATAGGCAATAATATCAAACAATCTGTTCAATCAATCAAACCAAATGTTTTTCTTCAATCTATTCGTACGTGTCCAATTTGTCAAGCTATCTTTAATATATTATCAATGAATGAACAACAATTTCAAGAACATATCAATGCTCATATGCATATAAAATAAAAAATAATTATCTGTGATTATATATATATATATTTTTTTTTTATAAAGTTTATCAATTTTGTTCTTTTTCTTTTGTTAAAATTTATTTTTCTTTTTTCGCGCTAAATCAAAAA